TACACCTGTTGCCTCCCCGCCTCCGTGCCGCCCAGAGAGCTCACTGTGTCACCCTTCCTCTGCAGCAGGCCAGCAAATCACACCCCTGCCACAGAGTCATTTGACGATGGCCTTTGGCTCAGGTCACTTTGCTGTTCAGAAATGGATCAATGAACTGATCATCATCACTGATGCAAACTGCATTTCGTTGCCCTGTACCTGTGCATGTGCAATGACAATAAAGTTGAATTCTAATTCTATTCTATTGGGACAGTTGACTTTGAGCAGATAATATCCTTAACACATATCCATTTGTTTTGCAGTTTTCAAATAAGGTTATGTTTAAAAACTAGCTGCAAAAGCTCGTCATGGTTTCAGTGTCCTTAGTAATGCTGGGTACCACAATTTCTGCAGAACACTAAAGTACTGTGACAGGAATAATTAGACTGATGTTATACTGCAATAGCTTAATGGCAATATGGGTGGTTAAGATTTACATTACCAAATTGTAAGAATGTTTGTAAATTAAAGTATATCAGCAGAATTCACCTAAGGGGGCATATTGGCTTGGGTTGGCCTGGATCTCTGAGGTTCCTGTTGGTTGGTAAGTGCGCAAAGGAATTTTAGTGTACAGTCTGTGGGAAAACATCACCAACACTGAAGTTAAATAGGGGAAAAAAAATTCTTAAGAAAAATTTACCAAAACCAATACATATTAAGCAAATCATAATATATTAAAAACTTGGGCTTAATAAATCTGTTTTTCTCAAGCCAGAAACACTAAACTGTTAATTATTTTTAGAATCACCACATTATGGGATCACACCAAAGCAAATACATGCAGGTTTAAGGAAAGTGCTTTAAAAATATTTCATTTTCCTTGGACTGAGCTGTTGTGCTCTTCTAATAAAAATTTTAATTAGCAGTAGTTTCTCTAATGGATGTTACATAATACTTTACTGAATAGAACCTTACCCATAAAAGAAAAACATTTTGAAAAGTGCTTTTTATCTACCAGCATGGACTATTTCTACGTAGGAGGGCTTTTATAACCCAGTGGACAGCCGTTGGTGGTGGGTGTTGGCAGCTCTGGAGCGTCCATGAGGAGATCTCTTGTGGTTGATGACTCATATTGCATGGCGGTACAACAATGCGAGCTACAGACGAGCAACCGTCTGCCCGGGCCTGCACCATCAGCAGACGTCCGAAAAGAATTTCAGCTTTGTTTGCCTGCAGTGACGCTCGCTCAGCTGACACAGCCTACATACAGATGAAGGCCTAAAAGGGACAAAACACAGGTTAATATTTTTGGCAAGATGCTGAGACTTAAAGAAAAACTGATAGATTTTTAAAACCTACATAAACTGTAAACAATAAACCAAATATATAATAATCCTATTTCAGCCTTTAATTCCAAAAGTGTTTTGTTTCATGAGGAGATCTACCCGAAACAGCTTTAAACAGTTTCGATCAGAGAGACGTTGAAATTGAGATGATTTTATTTCAGCCTCTAGTCAAAAATGACCAAAAATAAGAAAATTCTATATTCTAATGTTAGCTTTCCTTTCATATCAGTTATTAGATCATAAAAAAAGAGGAAAGTAGTCCCTGCTGGTGTCATGTGCTCAGGTCTTTTACATGGAACTTTGGGATTTTACAAAACAATATCGAAAACTTGCGTGTTGCCACCAAGTTTTTTTTTTTTCAACATTTAAATGAAAAAGAAAATCAACTAAATTATGTCTTAGCTGTTTTCTATAAACAATGTATTAAAAATGATTTAGCTTTATTTATCCAGGAAGAAGGACACAATAGTGTCCCAGATCTTCAGAAGAAAACTAATTTCTGGGTGAGTGCAGGCGGCAGCTGTGCTGTGTTGATTGGTTGTGGCTGCGTCTGATGAACATGCTGACCCAGTGTATCCCAGACATGTGCAATAGGAGACATACTGGCACTGAATGTGAGTCAGGAAAGCTGCAGCAACAGCTCAGCTGCACAAACCCAGCTTCAGTCGGCTTCAGCTAGTGTCTGTATCAGTCAGTGAGTATGGTGCCACTAATGGCACCGCTGTGCAAACACTGTGTTGTTTTGTTTGTTCTTTGGATGTGTGTGTACTGAGACACCCGACTTGAGATTGCAGTAAATTAAACTAATTTTGTGCGAGTGAGTTGATTTGAGTTTGATAAAACAAATTATCATCTCACCAATGATTTAAAGTAATCACAGAAAAGACATTTGGGGCTCTCCTCAGCTCTTCCCAGGAGGGTGG